CATTACTTATTATAATATATTTATAAAATTTTGACTCCTATTTAATTATTGCATAAATCCTCACAAATAGAGCAAAAATATTATATTTTAATTAATTAATTAATTAACTATCTTTTGAACAAATATTTGTATTATTGAAAATGTTTAACTATTTTATATTAATAAATAAAAACTATTAATTAAAAATCAAAAGTTCCATGATTATAATAATATTTGAAGGAAACATGATTGTGCACGTTAAGAAATTAAATTGATTTTGACTACTAAATATTGATTAAAAAGAAGAAACACTTGGAGTAAAATATAAAGATCGAGTAAGATCAAGTGGAAAAAAATGTAATAATTTAATATTTTTGAAAAACTAATTTCATGTTTGCAAAGACAAGTATGGAATTAAATCAATACAGACACACACATATATATATATATTTCAATAATGGAATTATTTCTTTGCTTTTTAAATAAGGTTGATTTCTTTCTTAAAAAAGAGAAAAAAGAAACTTGTAGAAATTAATAGGTTCAGAACAGAAGGGCAAGAAAAAGGAGATCTGAACCCATCTGATTCTTCCCATTCTCCATTTCAACAAACCAGTTAATTACTTGATCCATCATTTATTGGTCGGAGATGAATTTTTCTATTTTATTTAATGTTAATTACTTACGGCTGGCTGATATAACCAACTAAACAGCTACGGCGGGCTGACGTGATCTTTCCAAATCTCCGCCAATCACTCATCTGCATTCATTTATTATATCCACCAATCCAATTCCTTCATATAAATGTATATATGTATGTATTAATCTTCATTGTAAAACTACCTGCAACCAAAAAGAGTTATGGGTTCTGCTTCAAAATTCTTTCCTTTAATTCTTATCTTAACAACTTTCTTATTCACATCACTTTCACTTTCTATTCCCTTCATCCTTCTCCATGGTATTTCTTCTCTCTCTCTCTCTCTCTCTTCATTAAGATTTTCTTCCACATGATCTTTCTTTTTCTCAATGGTTCTTGGGTACTGTATTCTCCATCAGATGGATGATGTTTCATATCTTTCAAACATGAAATACCCTTTTTCTTTTTTCTTCCTCTTTCTCATCTACCCTGCTCCTCCTTTCTTTTAAGTATATTATATTTATTATTGCAGGGATTGCAGATGAGTGTTCCAGTGCAAAATCCAAATTCTTTACTGAGTTTCTCAGCAACTCTTCTGGCTCCACTGGATATTGCATGTATGCTTTCATATCTCTTCTTATTATACTGTTTGAATTCTATAATTGGAATTTGCCGGAAGACCCTATTATTCATATTTAAAAACTACCTTTTTTTTATGTTGTACAGAGAAGTTGGGAATGGGCAATGGGACTCCTGGTTTATCCCTCTTGAAGAACAGGTAAAACCCAAAAAAACTAAAAACAAAAACAAAAGAAGCAATGTTTAGTTTGTTAAATTTATATTTGAAATCTTCTTATATGTTTTTTTCTGTTTGCAGAGCAGGATTGTTTGTGACAAGGTGATGAAGTTGTCTGGGTAACTCTGTAAATTTCCAAATGTATGGATTTTCAACTTCATATCATTCTGACAAATTATATTTCTTAATTTCCAGGTGAAGCAAATGAAAGAGTTGAGCGGTGGGTATAACATAGTTGGTCTTTCTCAGGTAAATCTCTCTCTCTCTCTCTCTCTCTCTCTCTATATATATATATATATATATATATTCGGTCTCCATCTTTCCCATATTTTTCTCTGAATCTCTTCAACTATTTTACCTTCTTCAATCTTTGATTTCATTCAACAGGGTAACTTAATTGCTCGAGGACTAGTCGAGTTCTGCGATGATGCACCCCCCGTGAGACTCATATTAACTCTTATCTGAACTGTCTTTTTTTTTTTTTTTAAATAATTTTCTTGCCTTGTTTAAATCATTCTGATCTCCGACAAATCATTTTCGTTAATTTCATTTTCTGGGTTTTCCATATTTATGATTTCTAACCCTTTTATATATCTATTGAGACAGGTCAAGAATTATGTCTCCCTGGCAGGGCCTCATGCCGGAACAGCTTCTGTTCCTCTATGTGGTGTAGGTACATATTACTAATCATCTGTCCCCCTTATCTGGATTCTGCATAAAATTTAACAATGTCTTACTTCTGCAGTCTGGCGTTTTCTGCATAATTGCCGACGGATTAATCAAGTCAGACGTCTATACCGATTATGTCCAAGTAATTAACTAGTTCCGAGTTCAAGTAGAATAATTTAATTTGTTTAGTTTCAGATTTTTATGACTAGTTTAAAATATTGGTAAATATACTGCAGGATCATCTGGCTCCTAGTGGTTATCTAAAATTACCAATGGTAATTTTTTATGAACTAAACTCCATTGTTGTCTTGTTGATTAATAAAATAATTCCTTTGTTTCTGATTCTGATGAAAATTTAATTGACATTTGCAGGAAATCCCAAAGTATCTGGAAAAATGCAAGTTTCTTCCAAAGCTTAACAATGAGCTTCCTGATCAAAAGAATTCGAGTTATAAGCACCGACTCAGTAGCTTGCAGAAGTTGGTGCTTATCATGGTGAGACTTCAAAACTCATTTTTAATTATCATCTGTGGTGTTCTTCTTTTTTCTTCGATTACTAACAAAACTTTTAGTTATATGGTTTATTAGTTCAAAATATATTTTGTGTTTTTTTCAAAAATTAATTTTTGTAATTCTCAAATATATATATATATATGGAGATAAAAGAGAACTCACTATATATGTTTCTGGTTTGAAACAGTTTGAGGACGAAGAAGTTGTGATACCGAAGGAAACTTCCTGGTTTGGATATTACCCAGATGGAGCTTTCAACCCAGTCATTCCTCCACAACAGGTTAGCACCTCTTTTTAAGATTAAACGAAACTGAAACAGGAAAATAAGCAACAGGACATTTCTGATTTAGGAAACCAAAAAATGAAACTGGAAAGTAAACAACATAGAGGTTTCTGGTTTAGGAAACCAGATTCATTTCTTTTTGGTCACGTAACTATCGTGTGTGCGCAGACAAAGCTTTACACAGAGGATTGGATTGGTTTAAAAACGTTAGATGATACCGGAAAAGTAGAGTACGTTGCTGTACGTGGGGGCCATCTAAACATATCCACACAAGATATGCAGAAGCATGTTGTACCTTACTTGGTTTGACGCCGCTTCTGTTAAAAGTAACGGAGATCTACACAAATTATGCAGAATCATGTTGTACCTTACTTGGTTTGACGTTACTTCTGTTAAATATAACGGAGATTTACGCACCAGATGGATAAATGCCCGTCTATGGATTGATGTACTCCGTCACTGACGTTATTTTTCACCCCAGCTTTCGTGTACCAAATATTAATAGCACTTATTATTAATCCTTATATTTAATTTTACGTTAAGAAAGCTGTTATTATGTAAATAATTATAATTAATTATTTGCAACAAAGTTATGTAATTAAAACAATACATATATGTTTATATTTATATGTATGACTCATCTCCAAATCAATAGTTATCAACTTGTGAAGTAACGGTCATAGTTATAAATGTCGTATTTATGTAATTTAAATTTGGAAACTACTTATATAATTTATTTATTTACTTATTTTTTTCTAAAAGGTTTCTTAACAAATTAAATAATTTTTTAAGAAATTAATACATACATTTTGGGTAATGTTGTTAACACTTGCTTTAAATATAGATATTTTTCTTAAAATGAGAAAATAATATTTATGAATACATACGAAAACACTATTTATTTATAACCAGCTGGTGTCTTAAAACGAGAAGAAACTCACTCCCCTGCGTTTTATAACTTAAACTACCTTCTTCTCCACCAATCTTATTTCTTCATCTCAAATATCTAATCCCCATGCCGAAACTACCAGTGGAAGCAAATCTACAAATGTTTAATATCGCTTTCTTTCTCACATTCATCTTCTTTCCGCTTTCATTTTCTCTTCCCTTCATCGTTCTCCATGGTATTTCTTTTCCACTTTTCTTCTCCCTTCCTTTTCTTCATTTATGATCTGGAGCTTATATTATGTACGCATATATGTAGGTATTGGGGATCAGTGTGATGGAGGAGTGACGCGCTTCACTCAGTTTCTCAGCAGCTCTTCCCGTTCCCCTGGATATTGCATGTATATATATATATGCTTCTTGCCGTCTTGCTTGTCTTCAACAACAAGAGATTGTATATAGATTTGTTTTTCTGGTTCATATTTTTTATTTATTATTTTTTTTTTTGTGTTGTGCAGAGAAGTTGGGAATGGAAAATGGGATTCATGGTTTCTCCCAATTGAAGAGCAGGTAACAATACGAAGAAATCTATTGATTTTTGTTTTGTGATTGTTTATAGTTGAGATCTTCTGAATCCCTTTTTTTCTTTTTCATATTTGCAGAGCAGGATTGTTTGTGATAAGGTGATGAAGCTGTCAGCTAATTATGCTACTTTTCAATCATCTGGCTTTTCGACTGTCACTTTTCACAAATTCATTTTCAATATCTACAGGTGAAGCAAATGAAAGAGTTGAGTGGTGGTTACAACATAGTTGGTCTCTCTCAGGTAAAATCTATCTGGAAAATTCGTTTCGTTTGAAGACTAATAGAAAATATTAAAGGATTTCCAGAAATTTAACACAGAGATTTTAATATTCTCAATCTTTCATTTGGTTCAACAGGGTAATCTAGTAGCTCGAGGTGTTATCGAGTTCTGTGATGGTGGACCCCCAGTAAGAACCAGCTTGAATGCATATTTTCATTTCGTCATTTCTGATACCTAGTTTTGGTTATATTAAACACTACCAAAATCATAATTCTGGAAACCTTTCAGTCTTTATCATTGATCTTGAATCTTGAATGGCTCAACAAGTGTCTTTGATTCAGCATCTTCTGATTTCTGATAATCAATGTTGTTGAATATTTGCTTCAATATTTATGAGTTTTAACCCTTTTGTCCACTGAAACAGGTCAAAAATTATGTGTCTCTAGGAGGACCTCACGCGGGAATAGCTGCTGTTCCACAATGTGATGGTGTAAGTAGTGTCTGTCCCTTTGAATTGCTTATCATTTTCAGTCAAAAATGTTGCTCAAGGATGATCATTTGATCTTGTCATGAATCAAAATATATTGCATTCTACGTTAGTTGTAAAATAGGATATCTCACTTATGCAGTCTAGTCTTCTGTGCCAAATTGCCAACGCATTAATCAGGTCAGAGGTGTACGACGACTATGTCCAGGTATGCTTCTTATTTCTCAGATGTTCTCACATGTAATTTCTGCTTGATTTATAATTAAAGCAACTTGCTTAATATAATGCAGGATCATCTGGCTCCCGGTGGTTATATCAAATTACCGAAGGTGGGAATATGAATGTTAATTCTGAGAGCTAGCTGATAAACTCCTGTACATGCAATTTTTTTTAATTAAAATAGATTCAAATGTGAATATAATTCCAGGATATTCCTGAGTATCTGAAGAAATGCAAGTTCCTTCCGAAACTTAGCAATGAGCTTCCAAATAAGAACCCCATTTACAAGCAGCGATTCAGTAGCTTGCAGAACTTGGTGCTTATCATGGTGAGTTTAAAGTCATGTTTGTCATCTGTAATGGTAAATAGCTAGATTCCAACTTATTTGGTCCAAATCTTTTTTTACGTTTAAGCATTATTGTTTATGGTTTCCAATAGTTCGAGAATGATTTGATGTTGATACCAAAAGAAACTTCATGGTTCGGATATTACCCAGATGGAGGGGATGCTGTGATTCCTACGCAACAGGTACATTTTTTTCGGTACATTTTTTTCAGTGGCGATAAGATTACATTGGAACAAAGATTCAAATGTTTGTTTACAATGTGCAGACAAAACTTTACATGGAGGATTGGATTGGTCTAAAAAGCTTAGACGAAGGTGGTAGAGTGAAGTATATTAGTGTACCTGGAGGCCATCTCAATATATCTACAGAAGATACCCAGAAGTATGTTGTGTCTTACTTGGCAGACACCCACACCAGACAACTCAAAATTTAGTTACAAATGTATATTCATGTACTATTCCCCCATTCATAATAAAAACAGGACATTTCTTCATTAAAATTCAAAAGCAAATATTCTGATTTTCAATTCAACACGACTTAACTCAATATACAAGGGGGTAGTAAGTACAAGAAACAGTGTTCTGCTTCTGTCTAACCAAACATTATTCGAGACACTTTTATGTACCAACACTCTAAAAAAAGCAGACATATGGACTCCAACATCTTATGCAGTTTTCCCTCCTCAATACACCTGGATGTCTACACTGATACCTCCCAAGGAATCAGCCCTTATTGCGCAGCTGCTCTCTCTGCCAATCTTCTCACTGCCAATCTTTTGGTGAGCGTGGCAGCGAAACCACAGGCAAGATATTCTTGCCAGTGCAGCTTGACCAGCAACTTTCACCCGATACACCACACTCAGATCTGCCCATATCTCACTTCCCAAACCACTTGATTCAAGCATTGGGTCATATCCCTCAGCATCTGCTTTTGATACAACCACCATGGACCCATCATCAAATGCCATAAGATTTTCAACATCTTCAGAAGGGGATGACTTCAGATTCTTTAAAACTAGAGCTGCCATATCACCATAGACACCATATTTCTTCACTTTAAAATGGTAGTATTTCTGAACAGCCTACAATATAAATAAAAAACAAGCTCATAAAAAATTGTTATCACTCAAACAGGTCAGCCTACAGGTAAAGTTCATAAACTGCTACAATTCCAACCATATGGCTTATCACATTCACCCACCACATGAAAACCCAAAACAACCTTAAAAAGTTTCCCCAAGGCAATACCATAAACTTAACTAACTTCATAACATCATGTCCAGTGAATAAGGCCTGCTACATGAATAAAAGATTTTAAGAATACCTGCCACTGAGAGGAAGCTAAAAGCACCCTTGGTCGGATTGATTTGACATAATCATATGCTGCATCAGGTGCCATCTGCTTGTGTTCAACCTACAAAAAGAAAAACTGTCAAATCAGAGCTGAAGAATCTCCAACCAAATTAGAAAATTAGCCCAGGATTCCCGAAGTGTAGAACAGACCAAGTAACATATAACAATGGTTGTACTGCGGCCACGGCCAGCTTTACAGTGAACATAAGTAGTTAGTCCTCGAGATGCATTTCCTTCAAGGCAAAAAATTGAACATCAGCGAATACAGCATCCAGGAGGAAAATTACATGCATAGCTTGACTCTCCAATGACTGGCCAGGGAAAATGATTATATAAATGGAAAAAGAATAGTATCCATGTCAAACGCTAGATAGATCTTGATTTGCATGGCAATGGCATGCATCTGAGTCACAGATCATAACATGCATAGTCCTGCAGCCTTAGTAGTTCATTGATACAGTTTCCAAAAAGGCCCTCCAACAAACAGATTGAACAATTTTATGTGTAAACCATAAATATTATAAGTATGAGCTCTTGAAGTCATAAAACAACAAAAATATCAATGCCATAAATTTTATGTTGCCAGACAACCAAAACATCTTATGATTCAAAACACTAACCTAACATAAAGACTTTACCAATGCATGCAAACATTATATACATGATATTCCTGCACTTGAATCAAATTTCACAATCTACTTCCGACCAGAGAACAAAAAACCTGTGTGCCAGACAAAACAACAAGTCCACTTACTATGAATGAAGTTTACAGCTTGGCAAATGTCACTCATTGATGGTGCAAAGCAATAGTCTCTTGTAGGAATCACCAAATGGTTAATGTCATGAGACTGTGACAAAAAATCAACATGTTTTTTGTCAACACAACCAACATCATATTAGAAAGATATGAATCATAACATACAAATTAATAGCAGAGTGCACTTATAGAAATGATATCATGTTTCATACAAAACCATGAAAGGAAATATAGACAAAATTAACCTAAACAGAAACCAAAAACACAAAAAAGAAAGTGAGCACCTGAATTGTGAACACTAAAAACATCAAACACCTAAAATTCATGAATAATTAGTAGAATGGAAGGATTCATTGTTTTATCCATTGCATTTCGATGGAATATTCTTTCAATACGTGACCTTTCGACACCCCTTCCCAAGAACAGAACAGAACAAAAAGATCATCTAATTGTGTCTGGTTCATGAAAACTTGACTGATAAAAAATCTGGAAGTCGTAAAAGTGTCAAATTAACTCACTTTCAACTCACCAAAAATGATTTAACACTATAGCAGCAGTAGATATTCAGTCAAAGAATAGGAATGAAAACAATCCCTTCAACAATTTTTTTTTTTAAAAATGCACACGCAAAATCCCACTTTCAACAGAAACATTTATGAAAGAAGAGCATAAAACACTCACTTGATAAAGAGATGATGGAACTAAAGTCTCATAGGGCTCATTTAGCGTGATAACTCCTTTTACACCGAGCTCCTTCAGAATTGGAACATCAGTAGAAAATGGAACAGCACCTAAAAGTATAAACTGAATGCAAATACATCAGAGAAGGAGTCGGTACAGATCGCCACTAATAAGCAAATTTCTAATGAATGAACACCCCAGACACATAATGTCCAAGTTTTATCCATACCTCCATGAGTAGGGATCAAATAAAAAAATTTAGAAAAAGACTACTCTTTTAGAAGGGAAGGGAAATGATATTATACGAAACATTTTACAGTTACAGTTGAATAGAAATATTAAGCCTATCATTGGATAGATAACTTCGCATCGAAACTGAACTTTGAAAATTAACAAAAAAGAAGAAAAATAGCTCGTGTCCTTATCATGTAAACCAAAATCATCACCCCTATCTTGCCTTTGCTTTTCTTCTAAAAGCATGTATCTGTCTTTTCTTTGTTCTTGGTAGCACCACAATAACCTTTAAACACATCCACCAGCCGATCAACTTACAGAAAGAGCTGGTAATAGCTGATAATTATCAAATAAAAAGCCTCACTGACCGAAAGCAAAATAATGACACCTCAATTGAATGCAAAAAAAGCCTCATAATAACATGATTTAAGATCATAAATCGCACTGCATATAAATTCTACCTCAAACAAATATGCAAATCACCCAACCACATAAAACTTGAAAAACCCACACATATAAATAAAATTACATGAAAAAAAATCAGAATCACGTGCAATCTTAAGAAATTTCATTAAAAAAAACAGGCAACAAGAAACATTTCACTGCATTAACAATAACTCCAAAACATACGTTCTCGTAACAAGAGCATATAACGCTTTAAGCAATCTAAAACTTTTAATTAGCACATACAAATTCCATCATTCAGGAAGCAAAAAAGAACACATAATTATATGAGAAACCACATGCAGATATCACTTGAGCTGATACCTTATCAACCCGATCCCACCAGCGGAACTCAGACTGTATCTTATTCCTAACAACATTGTAAAGTAGAGTCGGGTAAAAGAGTGCACGAGCACCTGCACCAACCAATGCTCTCTTTGCATCCCAGAAAACTATGCTTCTACCATCCTCCAAAACAGCGTCACTCGGATAAGAATTCTTGCTTCCATCTTTTGCCCCAACGACACTCTCCACTTCTTCATCGTTTCTCAACTCCTCAATATACATAGCCTCAACTCAACTGAAAAATCAAGATCAGAAAACAAATACCCAAATACTCAAAGCCAACCCTATTCACCCGATTATCTGAGTATACAAAGAGAAGAAATATTTACACAATTGGATCTATACAACAAGGTACATAATTTTTGCATTTCAAAGAACAGAAACCCTATTTCCTCACAGGATCCTAAGACAAATCCGGAAGATTCTACAAGAAATCAAAATCGGAAGGAGATTAACAGGAAATAGCCCGGGAAAAACCAAATTTTGATTCCTCGCCGTAATCACCACCATATTTCGACCGAAAAGGCGGTTGATCGGACCACAACAACGCTTCCGGGAAACGGCAACGTTATAAAAAGCTGTTTAACTGAAATCCACTATCAGGATTCAGGGCGATCAACAGATTTCGGAAAACCCTAAACCTAGAAATTTCTATTCTTTTTGTTGAATTTGAGAGGAGACACAGAGAATCGCCTGCGTTCTACTCAACCTTTTGCCCCTAACAAACTATGAAACAGAAGAGAGAGAAAGAGAGATGAAATTGAGAAATTTGAGGATGGATGGTGGAGATAAAGTGACGGCGGATGGTTGTAGAAAGCTTGTGAAAGCGTGACACGTGTCGGGAAGTTACGTTGATTGTGATGATGATGGTGATGTTAATCTGAGTTGGCATTCAGTTTTAGTGCTTGTGCGAGATTAACCACGGTTGATT